ATTTAGAAACGTTATTTATTGGAAGAATTTCTAGCATTCAGATAGTAGAAGTGGACCTGCTCTTCAGTAGACCTTATGGGACTCCTTGAGACAAGAAGCACTTTGTTGCTCCAATTACATTGTGAATTAATGTAAATATTTAAGCATTTTTTTTGTTACGGAGTCACTTCACGAATCATATAGGTAAGATCTTTATTTAAAGTATTTTGATTTGTATGTATGTATATACTATATCGGAGTAGAACTCCGAATGCTACTTGGATATTCTTTTTGGTAAGTTGCATAGATTTTAGAAAATTCAACTTACAGTAGAGACTTGTCCAAAATTTCTATAGCAAGCTTTGTTAGGAATGAGGAGCAACCACCTGAGATTAGGGGGAAAGGAGAGATGGGTAAGAGTAGTAGAAAGATGCCATATCTTAACTTAAAATTTCAAGGCTCAAGTTTATAAGTCCTTCTTCTTTATTATATATTAGTTATTAAGCCCAACTTTATCCAATGTCAGACTTTCCACATCGTCTTGTGTCCACTCATACTTGAACAACCTAATAATTTCTCTCTCAAGTGAGTCCATAAGTTTCCTATATCAAAGACGCCCTAAACACTAAATCCCTTGTCTTTTTAAGGCCACCCCATTTTGCAGGCTCCAAATAATGTGGCGCACACAAGTCTCTATTACAATTAGGGCCAGTCCCATTTTGGGCTTCAAATGTGTGCACAATAATGGGCTTACAGATTCTAGGCAATACCTAGCTTTGATACTATTTGTTAAGAATGAAGAGCAACCGCTTGAGAACTAGGTACACAAGTTCTTAAAACATTCTTGAACACATATCATAACTTCTCATTCTAGTTAACGCATTTTCACTTCACAAAAGCTAGATACATTGTCACAAGACATTTATACATGTAACTATGACCCAATATATCAACACGACTTGCCACAGTTAAAATATGTGACACGTCATATAATCATATAGGTAATGATTAAATGACCTTATATCCTTCTTATTATCTTCATCCATATGACTAGACTACTCAAGCTCACCAATTGTGAGATGTGACTCGGCCAAAGATCACATGGCTCAATCTCAGACCACGGTTTTTCCTACTCTTAAATCTATGGGGTGTCAAATATTCTAAGCTAATCTCTTTGATAAACTAGTGAAGATAGCTAGGTTCTAGTTCCTTGACAAATTGTACGATAAGGCTATATCCTAGTGCATCGAAAGACAGCCTAAATATTATATGAATTTTTTCTACTCCCAATCCCTTAGTGATCTCCCGTCCATTGATCATGCCATGTATGATGCTCACTTTCTATTCACATTCTCATTTATTCCTTATCACAATCAACACATTAGGCTCATGATCGTGCGCTATCCAAGTAAGCACCAATACTCATTTCACATAAACACATATATTATCTTTTTCAATCATAATACACTCATCATTATCATTATCAACACTCAAAAACTTATTTCACAATCTCTTGCATTTTAGTTTAAACCGAAACAATTACATAATCATACAGTTTCATAGCACATTACATGCATTCACAAAACATAATTTACATGTACAACACATATTTAACACCACAATGCAATTAACATATAACTATTTAAAGTAAGATTCTTCTGGTTATCTTAAACCTTTGAGATGTCAAAAGTTTACCTTTCAATATTCTAACTTCCAAACTTGATTTCCAAAGTCACAATAGTGTTGCAAGAGCTCAATTTATAATCAATTAAGTTGAATTTCATCAATAATGTCAAACACACATCTCTTGATTACACTTTCCATTTCTAGCTTACCCAATGCCCACATTATATATGTTTGGGCTTACCTATTGGGTTCATTAATTCTCTTTAATCCCCAATAACATAATGAACTATTAAACTCTTACTAATGGCATTACAACTCTTCTAACAACCCTAATAAATGCTAAATTCGCATATTAATGGGGTCTAAATGCCAAAAATCTCGAAACTCAGTATTTCTAAGTTTAGATACTCAAATATACTCTCATTAACTCTATTTGAGTTAATGAATTTGGACTCATAACCTATATGAACTAAAAATTATCTCTTACTATCAAACCCTAATAAAAAACTTATAAATGTGGAAGGGATGAGAAGAAATGGAGTTTAAGGCACTTACCTTAAGTATTTCTACCTCCAAAACATCCCAAATATTACTCAAGAATGAACCCTAGCAGTGCACCTTGTTGGTCTTTTGTTTTCTCCTTTTTTTCTTAGTTTTTTGCTTCAATTTGCAACTGATATGTTGCAAGAAATGGCCGTGTGTTATGGTGGACGTTGCATGCGTTGCGACTCATGGCACAAAGATGCCCCCTTCTCACTTCATTTGTATCTATACGCTGCAGCAGGTGTATTTCACGCTGCGGCATGTGGCATAACAAACTTCTTCCTTGATTCCTTCTCATTTCGATGCCTGAGTGGTCTGACTTTACTCCGGACTTATAATTAGGGTTGAAACACAACCAACACTAGTCATTAGACCTCCCTAGCCACATACCATATTATTTTACTTAATCATTATTATGAAACTTAATTAATCTAGGGATTAAAATTTAGAATGTTACAGGCATCCATTACTAAAAAAGTCCATCAACATTGACCTCAGCACCACCTACAACTGCATTGGTGTGTGGCAAAATAATCGCATCAAGATCATTGTGATTGATTAAGGTAATAAAACCACTCTTTCTTATGTAGCTTTCACTAACATATAGTGTTTTATTGGTGATAAGGCGAAGAATCATGTTCCCTAGAACCCATATAACACTATGTTCGATGTGAAATGGCTTATTGGATGGAGATTCTCCTATGCCTCTATTCAAAACGACATGAAGTTCTGGCCTTTTAAAGTTGTTTCCGATGCCCATAATAAGCTTATGATTGTTATTCATTATAAACGTGAAGCGAAACATTTTTCTCCTAAAGAGATCTCCTCCATGGTTCGCATGAAAATGAAAGAAGTGGCCAAAGCATTTCAAAGTCAAACTATTAAGAATGGCATCATCACCGTGCCTGCATATTTCAATAATTCATAAAGGCAAGCTAGATCTTACACTTGCGTCGCTTCTTCCATTGTCTCAAATGTTCCCAACCACACCCTCATCTTGCTGTGCGAAGATGATAGATGAGGATGATAATGGAGGAGTTGGTATTTCAGAGGAAGGGCCAAAAGAATGGTGTTTTAGTGAGTTACACACATTTTTTTTTTAGTCAAATAACTAGTCAATTAACGGGCGTCTACTCATATGGAAGAAAAGGTCCTAGCTACTACATTTTTCATAGTTTATATTTTATTTTGCATTACTCTATAGTATTAGTATAATTTACCTAGTGCTCATTAAAAAATAATTTGTGACTAAATTTGTACATTTATCCATTAAAATATTCTGCATGTGTGTGTATTTCATAAAAATAAGATAATCATCTTCTTAAAAAATTTAAATATATCACGTAATAAAAATATTAAAAGTAAAACCAAAGTAGATACATATTTTTAATACAAAATAATATTACTTAAAAATATTTCAATCATTGTTTCATTTCAAGTATATGTATTTTGATCATAAATGAAAAAAGTGAGTGGGCTTTATATCTTGAATATGGAAAGCCCATGAAATTTATAAATAAACAATGCATGAGTCGAACATCGTTCTCGATTTCAATTTACGTATTGATGACAGGATTTAATGTCGTTAACAAGTAGTAGCGGCTTCGAAAGAGCCAATATTGAAAACCAATAAATAAATAAATGCATTCATTTATTTATGAGAAAAATGCACTAGGACTTTGCCCCCATCTTCTCGAACTTCTGTAAGTAAGCTGACTTCATTCTCACATTATAAATTAAAGGGAAAGGAATTTCATAGTAAATATAGATAATTAAAATTTTAAAAAATAATTTTTCAAACTACAGTACTACTATATGTTAAGTTATCACTTATTCATCATTATATAGATTAAAAAATAATTAAAATTTAAAGTTGAATTATCCATGTATCACTTTTTCTTTAAAAAATTCACAGCATTATTCTTGACTACACACACCCCCTCTATTTAAATATAAAAGAATTTCAACTAATTCAATAAAGTTAGTTAATCTTTATAATATAGTCTAAAATTGATATGTTCAGACTAAAATGACCTTCTAATTCATGTTTATTTTTTTTCTAATTTAATGATATTATCAATTTATGAAAAATAATTTGAGAAAAATATAATTACTTTTTTTAAATTTGTAATTTTTTATAATAAAAAACAATGAAACAAACGCAGAGTAGTTTCTCTTATTGTAAAAGAGACAGATAGAGAGAGCATATATATTAAACATTGAGGAAATTCGATTTTAACAAATACTCCTAATTTTTTAATACGTGGGAAACAAAATAATAATATTATCAAGGCCGGGCATTAAACGGGTCCACCGGTTTTGCTGGTTTTGATTGCGAGTTTTATCAATTTCAAACCACATATGGCCGGCCCTCACTTCTCAATCCAAGGGGTCCAATGGGGCCATTTGATTAATGGAGTATAACCATATAATTTAAAGGCAATAGAAAGCTTTATGCAAAAGGTAAGACTTATATATATATATATATATATATATATTTAATTTTATATATTTAATATACTTTCATTCAATTAAATCAAAATAAATAAATTTTGATACATTAATAATATTAATAATAAATAATTTATAAATAATATATACATATATTTTAATTTAATTGAAAACAAATATTTTAAATAAATAATGTTAATTATATAATTTTTCCGTACATGTAAAACATTGTTCCTTCCAAAAATGATCCTAGTTCAAACATTCATCAGAGATCTCATTGTAGCGGTGGGCCATAGTTGTGATGATTCCCTTTAATGTTAATTTATTATGCGAATACCGCCTCAGAAAATCTTTAAAAACTGCTTCTTCTTCCTCTAGCTCTTTCACCTGCAAGTCTGCAACAAGCAGCCTTTTGTTTCTTTTTTTAATTCATTCCATTTTTCCTCTGTTCCGTTAAAAAAAAAAAAATGGGAGCTAAGAAAATGTCTCAGAAGCTCTTTGATTATCGGCTTAGAAGCCGTACCACCAAGTCCCCTCTTTTCTACATCATTTCATTTATTGCTATATTCTTCTTCGTCTATGCTGAGAAACTTTTCTCAAGTTCTTCAATCCTACAGACCATTCATCTGACTGCTCAACAATCCGCAGACGAACTCAGTTTACCTCAACCTGTTGAACTCACTGACTCATCCAATGTCGACAATGCCGACGCTTTCCAGCTTTCTCGTCAAGAAAACGATGAAGAGACAGAGACTGATCAGCAATCCGCAGATGAACTAAGGTTACTTCAATCTGATGAACCATCTGAGCCATCGATTCTCGAAGACGCTTCCCAGATAAACAATGACGCTTCCCAGCTTTCTGCGAAAGAAAATGGTGAAGAGACAGAGACTGTTCAGCAATCCGCGGATGAACTAAGGTTACCTCAATCTGATTTACCGTCTGAGCCAACGATTGTCGACAGTGGTGACGCTTCCCAGCTTTCTGCGAAAGAAAATGGTGAAGACGATAAAGAGAAAGAGGCTGAAGAAGAAGAAGAGGAAGAGGAAGATGAAGAAGAAGATCCTCTTATACCTCCGGAAAATGTGTCCAAGGAAGAGAGAATGACCTGGTTCAGACGACAACTTCCAGAACTGAAGATTCTGAAATCAAGCGGCTTATCGCTGCAGTTTCATAGCAGAGTCATGAGTTTCATCAACACAGGCTGCTTGTTGCTGTTTCACATCATATGGCTTTCACCTGCACGGTCCTTTGGGAACAGAGATTTCCTCACCATGGACACACTCTTCCAGGTTCATCCCCAAGCATGCCTGCTCATCTTATCAAGAACAATGGATTCCAAACGAGGGGATACGATTCTGAAACCCCTTATCGATCGAGGCTTCAAGGTTTTTGCAGTCACACCAGACTTGCCTTTCTTGGTCAAGGACACACCAGCAGAAGCATGGCTTCAAGAGATGAACATTGGAACTAAAGATCCAGGACACATCCCATTGTCCCAGAATCTGGCTAATCTCATAAGGCTAGCCTTCTTGTACAAATACGGAGGTGTTTACTTGGACACAGATATCATAGTACTGAGGGACATGTCAGGTTTGAGGAATGTGATAGGAGCACAAAGTGTGGACTCGGTGACTAGGAAATGGAACAGATTGAATGGTGCAATTATGATATTTGATATTAACCATCCAATTCTGTTGGAATTCTTGCAGGAATTTGCATCAACTTTTGATGGGAATAAATGGGGACACAACGGGCCTTATTTGGTCTCAAGAGTTATAGAGAGATTAGGAAGCATCCCAGCAAACAATCTCAGAATTTTGCCTCCAAAAGCATTCTACCCTGTGAACTGGTATAAAATTGGAAGGCTTTTCAGGAAGCCGGAGAACGAGTCAGAATCAAGATGGGTGGAGAGCAAGATCAGCGAGTTGTATGCAGGAGAGACGTATGCAATACATCTGTGGAACAAGAGAAGCAGAGAGTTAGAGATTGAAGAAGGAAGTGTGATGGCTAGAATAATCTCACAACACTGTGTTGTTTGTGCTGGCATAACAAGAAGTTAAAAGGAACAAGGTTACTCAGCTATAAGAAAAGCGTTACTAGTTCCTTAAGTGTCAACTTATCTCATCTGGGGGGGGGGGGGGGGGGACACAGAGATCAAGCAAAAGTGTAATATTACACATTGAATTGTTTCTTTTTTTATTAGCAAAAGTAATTATAGATGATCAACTTATTATCTTTAGATTCTTCTGAATATAAGGGGACCAAAACTACCAGATTTTACCATAATAATTTATTTACTAGGCTATGCAGTCAAGAGATCTTTTGTTGAATCCTTCCTGCTAAAGTCTCTAGTAGGAGGCATAAGTGCAGAACATATATGTTCTCTCATTTATGACATACCAGTTTGCAGGTTGAAGGCTGATTTGATCAATGCATTTTATGGATAATTTCTCCCTGATGTATATATTCAAGTAAAAAGATATATAAATGTTTTTTGAGTTCAAAGGTACCCTCTGGACTTGACTTTCAAGCCTTGAACCAGATAAGCAAGACCTGGTTAGCTATTTTCATAAACAAACTCATATGTGTTGAGCTCGGGCAGTCTAGTATTCTATAAGCTAACCTATGCTCGATGAGTTTATTTATTTATTTATTTTTTGTATATGTGTTGAGCTCGGCCAATCTAGTATTCTATAAGCTAGCCTATGCTAGATGAGTTTATTTAATTTTTCCGTTGTAATGCTATGTGATTGTGCGCATTAAAAACGATCTTGTCAACCAATTGACAAGTTTTCATTGAATGATAAATGATTCTGAATAATGAGAAATGGATACAAGCCAGTCAAGTTACATGATTACATGATATCAAAGCACTTTGAATAAAAATTTCAAAACTATTAATTGGTGATTAAAATAGCCTAAACATCAACCACATAGAAAAAAAGGAACTCCAAATTAGGCAACTACATTAACATCAAGAATAGGATAACAACCATTATCAGAGAAACAAGAAGAAGCACAGAATTCTCACCTTTATTTGTGATAGATCAACAAGATCTTAGAAGCAGGAAGAGTTCTCACAAAAAAGCAAAACTTGTAATGTTACACTCTAAGTTGTTTGACAACTTCGACCAAAATGAAGTTATTTGACAACAAACTAGAAGATAATTAACATATTCCAAGACTTAATATTAAATTAAATGGTGGGTTTCATGTATTATACTGAGCTCTCCATATAAAAGCCGGCATAATTTACGCCTTATGAATAGTATGATTTCCTATAAAATTATTATACATAAATAGAATAAATACAAATTATTAATTCTTCTCGCTGTTTGGATCAGATTACATACATGACATATTTATTTCCCTGACAAAAAATAATGATGGGATCAATTTGATTAACGGGTGTCGGTAACGATGATGTGTGCGAAGCTATTAAGTAAATCATTGTAAGATTGTAAAAACAAAGGGCACTAATGGCTTCCAATAATTTTCAAAAGGGTCAGTCTTTCTCTTTAAATACTGATAAACTGCATTGTAATTTGTGAAGTTTAAGTTCTAACTTTAATTCTCAACATTTCTCATTTTATTGATGTTTTTATAAGTTTGGACTCTGTGGCCTTGGATGAATTATTGACAATCCTTAGAATATGAATCCCTTGGTTCCTCTGAACAAAGGAATCAATCATATTTTTATTTTTTTTAAATGCAATTTATAATTTTTTATTTAGTTATTTTATAAAAAAAAACGTTTGGTCTGTTTGTGGCCAGTTAAACGAAATAAACGGTCAATACATATTGATTAAAAAAAAAACAAAGTCAAATCAATGGGTTAAGAGGATTCAAATTGCTATTTCATTGATTTATCATGGCATCAATATCTACTTCTTTATTTGGCCACTAATCGTGAACGTCAATGGTTAAGGCAATTAAAGTGATAAAGAAAGAAATGTTTTTCATGCACCACGATGAACGATGATGGATCATTACTACAACAGCTGATAATCTGCTTTGCCCTTACATTGCTACAATTAAATTTCTGTCAATATAAATCCCAAGTAAAAATAACAGGTGTTAATGTGAAGATAGAATATGATAGCAACATGTTGAAAACTAAAACATGAAAACGTGGAAATAATAGAAAAGTACGGCAACAAAACGCATTAAAGTTAACAGCAAATAAAATGCTGCACTAAACCAGGTTGAAATATCAGTAAATTCCTTGACAAAGACACTAATAATAAGTGGAATTTTATGCCCCTTTCTTGAATGAAACACTGAAATTACCAAATTCAAGAACTAGGACTGATCCAAATGTAAACGTAGAAGAGCCCCATTAGCTATTTCAAGAGACACACATGCATATGACAAAGGTTTCCATTTTCCACATGCATGCATGACGCATTAAACACCATTTCCTCCATTATTGATTTATATACTTGTGATGTCTAAACTTCTTTATATGTTTAAAATTGTGTTGATGCCTCTGTAGCTGCACTCAGAGCTCACATTATATGAAAGTTCTTAAAGGTCTTTTGTTTCTCCTTGACAGAAAGTTGCGTCGATTTTTTCATCAAAGAAACTTACCTCCCCACAAATCAGTCATGGCTGCTTCCGATGAGAAAACGTCTCCGAAGATCTTTGATTACTGGATAAGAAACCGCCCAGCCAAATCTACTGTTCTCTACTACACCATCATGTTTCTGGTTTTCTTACTTGTCATCAATGTTGTAAGTATCTTGTCTAATTCCCCGCGAGCCACATATGGCCTGAGAAGTATTCAGAAAACTCTTGGCAAAAAAGAAACTCCAAAAGCTGATGATGAACCAGTTGAATCACCATCAATTGTCGCGCAAGTAGAGGAAGAGGAAGATCCTCTGGTCCCACCAGAAAACTTGTCCAGGGAAGAAAGAATGGCATGGTTCAGAACCCAACTTCCGAAACTTGATATACTCAAACCATGCAATTCATCACAGCATTTTCACACGAGAGTCCTGAGCTTCCTCAACAACAACTGTTCTGAATTGTTTCACATTATATGGTTATCACCGGCTAAATCATTTGGGAAAAGAGAATTCCTGACTCTAGATTCATTCTTCAAAGTCTACCCGGAAGGATGCTTGGTGGTTCTATCAAACACCATGGATTCCGTGCGTGGATACAGAATTCTGAAACCATTTCTTGATCGCGGATTGAAAGTCACAGCAATTACTCCGGATTTGCCTTTCTTGTTCAAGGACACTCCAGCTGAATCATGGCTTGAAGAGATCAAAAGAGGGGAGAGAGACCCTGGTAATATCCCCTTGTCCCAGAATCTATCTAATCTCATAAGACTAGCAATGTTGTACAGGTATGGAGGAGTCTACATGGATGCGGATATGATAATTCTGAAGGATTTCACACATTTCAGAAACGCAGTAGGAGCCCAGAGTGTGGACCCTGTGACTAGAAAATGGTCAAGACTAAATGGTGCAGTAATGATATTTGACATTCAACATCCAATTCTAATAGATTTTATGCAAGAATTCGCAACAACTTTCGATGGGAATCGATGGGGTTATAATGGGCCTTACTTAGTCTCCAGAGTTATACAGAGAGTTGGCACCACCCCAGGATACAACCTCATGATTTTGCCTCCAAAAGCCTTCTTTCCCGTGGATTGGGTTAAAATTGTCAAGCTGTTCAAGAAGCCAGAAAATGAATTAGAAGCCAAATTGATGGGAAATAGGTTTGTTGAATTACTATATGATGGGGAGACTTATACAATTCACATGTGGAACAAGATTAGTAAAGTGACTGAGATAGAACAGGGAAGTGTCATTGCAAGATTAACCTCTGCGCGTTGTGTTGTCTGTGTCAATATCACAGGCAGTTGATGTGCCAAGGTTCAAAGACAAGAATGGAGGCATCTTCGCATATGAATGTTTAGAGATACATTTGATATCTACTGCTCTATCGGTTTGTAATTTTGTTTACCGTCACAAAATAAAGAGAGAAATTTTGTGCTTTGTTTTATAAGAATTTTCTGTTAATTGCAAAGTTCATTTCATAAAGTGTGCTTGTATTTGATTTTGCCAAATCCATGACACAAATAAATCTAAAACAGTACTTCGAAACTCCCATGAAGTTAAAAGTGCATACGAGGATGGCATTGAGACGTTCAGGCACAAGAATCTGCGAAGGGATATTGTTGTAAGGATTCTGTATAAATATAATATAATGAGCTATCAAACATTCTGATATCAAAAGTCAATAGTTGAAGATTATTATGTTATGGAAGAATTTCTAAATATCTCAGTATCTCTGAAATTAATATAAAAATGCAAGAACAAAAAAATTGTGCTTTTCTTCCATTTTTAGCATGCTGATAGTTAAATTCATGGGAAAAGAATATAAGCTTAAATTGTGGCAAAATCTTTTGATTTTCTTGTAGCCTCGGTATTCTCAAGTTAGCATAGCATGAAAATTGAGATCCTTGCCTTTTCTTACTGTGGCTCATCTCGTAGCCATGGACGAATCTACCATTGTTGAAAAGCAGAGCCAAAGAAAAAGAAGCAGCAGCGACAACAACGCTTTCGCTAAATTCGTGCCTCTTGCTTCGCCGTTAGGAGACGACGGTGGATCCCAAGAGGCGAACCCTGAAGCTGAAGGTCACGAAAATGGCCATAAAAGACTCAAACCAAATCCATTGTCGGAATTCGCCTACACCTCCTCTTGCTCCTCTCCTCCTCTTCTCCAAGAAACTATCGGCCGAGAGAATCAGCAATTTTCCCCTCCCTCCACTGTAATAAGCAAGCATTCTGCTGATACAGGACCGTCTCCATCTTCCATGTCTAGCAAATCCCGTACCGATTTGGAGATGCTAGATGCGAAAAGCAGCCAGACTCTCTCATCTGGTGTGTTACGATTTTTCAATGTTCGTTTTCTTTTCGTGCAATTTATGAAAGTAACATGGTTGTGAAATTCAACTGGAGGAAAGAAGACCGGATTGAGCTGGGATCGATAGGTTTGATGGCAGCTGAACAATTATCTAAGAGACCAAAGATCGGAGGAGTCTACCAAGCAATTAGGGTCCATAGAGAAAGAACGGTAAAACGGCTTAAAGAACTGTGTAATGAGGAGCCTACGATCGATGTGGGGATTGAGATGGCTGATGCGGCATCTCTTTTGAAGCTTATGAGCTCCTCAACTGATGAGATAATTGAGAGCGCAGGGCAAAAGGCTCACAGGGGAGCATCGTTGTTGCTTCAAGCAGAGATTCTTCGCAAGAATGGTCTGCAGCTACTTTCTGAGAGCCAAAACTCGTTTAGGGATATCCTATAATTACTGGTTGATTTTGCAACTCCCTTCAATTTTTTGGCTTAGCCAACATCTCGACCTAATTATCAAATCCTTTTAATATTTCACTTACGCTCAAGTTATCTAACTTCTGGTATATAATACGTTTGAAAGATATGCTTTGGTTGGAATCATACAACTGAAGTCTTCGTGTTCATGCATTTCTACAGACTCTGTTTCGGGGATTCTTGCATATAACTTGTAATTGGCAATCATATCACAATAAGAGGAAGTATATGATATCCTAAGTTGTGATTTCACTGATTTGTGTATTGGTTCTCTTGCATATTTATAATATCAAAATCTTTTATATCCTAGTATAAAAATACTCACATATAAGAAGCTTCAGGGATAGTTGGACCCAGTAAATCTGCCTCTCCCAGCTCTAAATTCTAATAACTGAAAATCACTCAGCCGTCTATCTGCCGCAGTAGAATATTATAGTTTACATGTGGAACTCCATCTGTTTGATAAAAGTGTCAAATAGTTTTGTCGAAATTATTGCCCTTAATAGATGCTGACTTTGGCCAAAACCTGTTGTCTTAATATTGTCTGTAAAATTTCTTCCTACCGCTTTCTATATTGATAATTGGTACAAGAATCTGCATTATTGATAAACATGGTTACATCAAATTTTACCTAGTCACGGGCAGAATAATAGGTCTGCATAACAGTGAGAGCAAGCAGCAGAGCAGCTGCCAATACTCCTATCAACTTCCATACATTAGGAATATGATCACGAATCAAGATTCTATAGCTGCGTTTGCAGAAGTACTTGATGCATGCGACACACGGCCTGCAATAATGCCACATCATTATAGGGAACTTTCTCAAGGGGTTCACTGTCGAGTGTGTGTTCAAGTCTTATAATTTACTGTAACTTGAATCCATTTGATCTACCCCACTTGTGACAGTACCAAAAAATTCGAGCAAATCTTCGTTACTTTTCTTGGTTTCTTTTACTATAACTCCATTTTCGACGAGTAGCTCAATATCCTGGAGAGAACAGATCAACCCTTTGAAAAACAGAGCATAGGAAGTGAACTGCCTGTTGATTCCAATTCTACTCTGCTCCCAAGCTATGAAGTTCCTCAAGTAAATTTCTGTGGTATCCACTATATGCAGAGGTGGAATTTCTAGAACCCCTTTGCTGAACTTAAACCCGAAGTCAAATCTACGGATGATTTTGCCATGTGCAGGCCGAATTGTTACCCCAGAAGCTCTCAGCCTTGTAGCGCACCGCCTAAGTTCTTGGTAAGCTTGCTTCACCTTCTGTCCTTCATCAACAACGGAGGATAGGTGTAAAAGATGGAGAAAGTGGGCGACACTTGAACAATGAATCAAAGGGTATCCGAAGAGGGAGAGTGCAAGATCAGAAACAAGATGATCAGCATCCCTCGTAAAGACACTGGGAAAAAGTATCCTAGCTAATGTCTTGAGAACAAAGAAGGGTATTTGGTTCTCAAGCAGAGTGAGATCCGTAAGGACAGAGAAAAGGAACTCTTGGTTTTGAACTATAGGATCGGAACCATGATGGATCTCGTCATTGGCAAATGAACTCATTAGCTCTGGAGGCGACAACCGAAGAAGTAGTTCTAACAAGAAACAACCATCCAAAAGCATAATCTTGGCTAGTTCGTGGGGGTCATACTTGATGTTACCTCCGTAGCTTGCACGAACAGCATCATCCAAGCCGAGAATGGCGGTGCCACATTTGTCTAAGGCTGAAACTGGGTTTTGGGTTCGGTGAAGTAGAGACAGCATGTAACGCCATTTGTGCTCTTCCATGGCAAGCAGGTGGCTTTTGGTTCCTCTGTGAATGGGTCCAATCGTGACGAGTTTTGGCGAGTAAGCTTCGTCATTGGGTTTTCGAAGTTTAGTGGGGACGCTGGGAATGCTGCTTATGAACGATTTAACTTCCCTATGATCAAGAGAACCCAGTGTGACCCTGATAGAATGCATCCAAGAACACTCATTTGGGGTTTCGTCCATTGCCTGAAACTGGTCTTGGGAAGATTTGGATAAGGCAAGTAAAGCTAGAGTGATGAAGATCAAAGGAAGCTCACGCCTGTCTAATGAGAGATTGTCAATAACACAACAGCCCGAGCGAAACTAGAAAGGGCAACTGCTAGTCAAAGGGGAGAGCTCGATTATTAAATTAATGGGAAATGTCAAAGAGAGATTTTGATTATGGAGATATGGTTCCTTCAAACGAAAACCCCAAAAGTTCACAGAATTACGCTACAGCTGGATACCACTTTAGATTTTCTGGGCGGGGTAAGACTGCAAGTATCAGATTATCAGTCAGAAGGTTAGAGTTGATAAACAAGAATGAATGGCCGCCTCGGCACTTGACCCCCACTCCGAGTATTTCTTCATTGTTAAGCAAGCTCAGTGTATAAGAAAGCAGAGGGCAGCAAAAAGATAAAATGAATTATCATTATTTAATATTTAATGTTTACTGTGGAATGCGGCATAGGGCAAGATAAAAGGGAAAGACGCCTCCTGAAAAGGGCAAAGAAAAGGCTTCAAAAGCAAAATCATGAAGAGAGAGAAAAGTGATTGAACATTGAAAAATGATAATTAAGGACTCTCTACCATATTAAACCTAATTATAAATTATAACATTTTAAAATCTTAAATTTAAAATTTTTGATCCTTAATTAAAATAAAAAAATATATTTAATTTTATAAAATTACTCCTTTTCTAAATACTAAAAAGAAACAACAAATTAGCTTACGTCACATTCTTTGTTCTTGTTTCTGGACGTGAAAAACCTATTTTCATATGTGAAAAATATGGGCAAAAAATTAGTGAAGTGCGTAATTATTTGAATCATCATCTTCTTCTCTCTTAATAATAGGTAATTACATGATTGTTTTTTTTACATCTTCCCCTTCGTCATGCACGCAAAAAAAATCTGCAATTTCTTCTTCCTTATATTTAACATCTTCTCTATCATGCACACATGAAAGAATTTTTAGATTTTTATAAATACTGTCTTATATCGTTTCTCTTTTATAGTGAAGAAAAAAGTAAATTTCTTGATGATTAATAAATTATATATATAGAAATACACAATAAATGATTTTTGAGAACGATAATATTATTGAGTGAAAAATAAGAAAGATGTAATATGGATGCTGAATTTTTCTATTTTGTGATGAAAAGTGGGTTAATGTTGAAAAATGTAACATAAATGTTGAATTATTATAGTTATGGTTGGAATTGCAGGAAGGATAGTTGTGAAATAATGAATTTGTGTGTTGCTTCTAGTTTTTGCAGGTTTATTTCCCATATGTCAAGTACTTTAGTAAAAAAAGTATTTTGTTATTTTCACATTGAAGGGCATTTTGTAAAAGATTCACAAGGGAAGATGACCTATGAAGATGGGATATTAGTTTCTAAATTGATTAAAAAAGACATAAATCATGAAGAGCTGTTGAAGATGATGTCATCAATGACAGGAATTGAAAGTATTACAGTTGACTTGAAATTTACAGCAAAATTTTGCTATTGAATGACTTTTTGTATAAATACCCACACCATATTTTTTATACTTGTAGAGGTGACAAGTTATGTAAATAGGTTTGCAGTTTACATTGTTTTTTGAGAAGAAGACGGTAGAAGTACCATTTAGGTATATAGGATATTTCTTATATAAAAAAGGATGCAAATATGGTGCACATGTATTGAAATCAGTGTAATATAATACTGATATCTATTTCAGGTTTAAATATGTGCAAGTGTAAATGCTGTCATCATATAAGACTGCTGAAGTCACTAACATAGCATAAGAATATTGCTACTGTAACCAATGAAAACATAAAATCTCACTTTGGAATAGATTTTTTCACAATATTTGAAACTTTCAAGTGTAAATGCTGTTATAACATAAAACTCACTTTTGAAATGTTTTAAAGCCACATGTGAAAATACAAGTATCATTGAAGAAGTCACTAACTTTGATGAAGAATATGAACACTAATGTGACTTGTTAAATTTATACTAAAATCTTTATATAATGTGACTCATCACTAATAATATATGTGATATTTTAGACTTTGAAATGTTCTAAAGCTCTAACTTTATATAGCTAAGGGAAATCTTAATCGCAAAAACTAATATATTCAAACCATTATGAAAAAGTCACTTTTTCTCAATATATGTTAGTTATTTTCTTAAATCGGGTTGGTGAATTTTAAAGTAACGTTATTGGATCTTAGTTTGGCAAGTCATTTTTTCTTAAATAATCTATTTCTAAGTGAGGTTTTGTATTTTCACAATATACGTTAGCTATTTTTTAGAGTTGGATTAGTGAATTTTCAAGTGACGTTAGTATATCCCAATTTGACAAGTCACGTTAGTATTCATATTCTTCACTGAAGTTACTGACTTCTTCAGTGATGCTTGTATTTTCATAAGTGGCCTTGGAACATTTCAAAAGTGAGTTTTATGTTATGACAGCATTTACATTTCAAAGTCTAAAATACTGTGAAAAATCTATTTCAAAGTGAGGTTATATGTTTTCACTAGTTACAGTAGAAATATTCTTATGCTATGTTAGTGACTTCAACAATCTTATGTGATGACATCATTTACATTTGCACATATTTAAACCTAAAATAGACATCAGTATTATATTATATTGATTTCAATACATGTACACCATATTTGCATCCCTTTTTACACAAAAAAAATCCCATATACCTAAATAGCACTTCTACAGTCTTCTTTCCAAAAAATAATGTAAACTGCAAATCTATTTACATAACTTATCATCTCCACAAGTACAAAAAAATACGGTACAGGCGTCTATACAAAAAGACATTTAATAGTAAAATTTCACTATAAATTTCAAGTTAGCTGCAATACTTTCAACTCCTATCATTGATGATACCATTTTCAATAGCTCTTCATAATTTATGCCTTCTCTAATCAATTTAGATATTAATCTCCCATCTTCATAGGTCATCTTCTCTTATGAATCTTTTACAAAATGTCTTTCAATGTGAAAATAACAAAATATTTCTTTTGCTGAAGTACTTGCTATATAAGAAATAAATCTGCAACAACTAGAAGCAATACACAAATTTATTACTTCACAATTATCCTTCCCGTCATCACAATCATGACTATAATAATTCAGCATTCATGTTGCATTTTTTAATATTAACGCACTTTTCATTACAAAATAAAAAAAATTCAGTATTCATATTACATCTTTTTTATTTTTCACTCAATTTTTTAATACTATCGTTCTCAAAAATAATTTATTTATTTTATATTCAACTACCTTACTCGATCGGGCCGGGTTATATTACTGGTCACAAAAAAACTTCGGTATATTAACTCGACACAATTATTCGTGGCAGATATACGCTTTGGCTGGCATTAATAATGATCTAACATCTTTAGAAGACATTTCACAAAATGATGAAGTAAGACGTGACATCGATTGGTCAGATTGGATATGGGTGTAACTGTGATTTCAATCCTGCATAAGTCCTTTATATATATATATGATTGTTTGATTGGTTCGGATTTGACTATCATTAGATTCAATTGGAAGTAATTTTTTACATCCAAAGTTAATGATATTCACAGGATAAGATTGAGACACTTCTATCCCGAAATAGGCTCAAGAGCCTCAAAAAAGTTGTCTGAAGCTGAGAAGCTTCGCAACCAAGGCATGCATCTACTCTATCAAAGCCAAATATCATTTAGAAAAGCTGTTAGGAGTATAAAGCCAAGGAAACAGCTCATCCTAAAAAAAAAACTAGTTCATCAGGTGAGAGAATTTCCTAAACAAGTCTCACTACTTAGATGAGATTCCCTATCACAAAACACGCCTGACAATTGATCTTAACATCTTTAGGAAACACTTCATAGGATCAGGAAGTAATTAAGACTTTACAACATTGATTATTGTGATTTGAATTTACTAGGTTGTTCAAGTATGAATGGGTTTCAGATGATGTGGAATGTCTTATATCAGATAAAATTAGACTTAATAATCAATATATAATAAAAAAAAAGAACTCATAAACTTGAGCCTTAAGGTCTAAAATTAAGATGTATTGTTCTTTTACTAATCTTGCTCATCTCTCATTCTCCTCCTCAAGTTTTTGGACGGTTGCTCCTCATTCCTAACTAGGCTTATTGATTGCTCAGGACCTGTAAGCCCGTTATTACACACACATAAATTTGAATTGTATTTTCTTACTTTTCAACCATAGTTTTTTAAAATTTGTAATCAAAAGATTTGTGAAGAAATATAATGCCGGTCATCACATAACAAACGGCTATTCAGAATGTGAATTAGGTGAAATTGAACCAAATATCAAAATGGGAATTATTACTTCTTCATTGAAGCCAACATCTCTACTGATGACTATCTTTAAGCAAAACGTCAGGCGATCTAAACTTCCTACAGAATTTTATGTATGATAGAGTGAAAATATATTAGTTTTTTTTTTAAAAAAAAAAATTTGGTCTCATATTATAACTCACTAGAACATAATATATAGATATACTAATTAACAAGGTCGATTTTTGATAATAAAGTATTAACTATATAACTTAATTAATAAATTATAAACAGACATCTATTTTAACCTTAGTTTGATAATTTCTCTCAATTTACTCGCTAAATTCTTTTACTTGCTCCATCAATGTGGACAATTTTCCTTAAAAACTTTTTTTCTATATATACTTGGTTCAATTGGGCATGTTTGTTTGTACATCTAATTTAATAAATATCTAATAAGTCATATTTTTACATATTTTAACAAGATTTAAATTTAAAATTGTTATTAAGTACAATATCTACAAAACTTTCAAGTTAGATGTGTGCTTTAAATGACTAAAATCATGTATCCTTTCAACTTTTCTACACTAGAAATTCTCAATGCGAACGTAAAGCTCTACTAATAAAGTGCTAACTGCTAAGCCACTGCTAACCAATCCGTATACTTGACAAAATAAATAA